ACAAAAAAAAAGTGTTTAAATTTTTTTTTTTAATGGCCCTAAAAAACTTTAGGTTAGGTGAGTTTTTTTTTTTTTTTTTTTTTGGGTGGGGTTTTGTAGAAAGGAACCCTGGTTCTGAAGGAGATGCTGAAGATCGACGGCGCTGGAAAAGGAAGTCCAACATCCCAGGAGTCGGCAGACGCTGCTCCCTCTGCTGGCCAGCAGCAGAACAGAAGGCGATCAAGCAAGAAGCTGGGTACGTAGCTGCACGTCTCCATGGCAGTGCGGCGGGGAATCCGCGTTGACGTACTTCTCGCTTGTACGCTTCCTCCCTCCAGCTGCAAAAATAAACAACCCTCCTGGCGAATCCGTCACGCTGGCCCCTCCAGCGCCGGCTGCCTCTGCTCACGCCGCCCTGGGCGGGAAGGTGTCGGAGCTGGCTTGCTTCTGCGTGGGCGTAGGCATGGCCCCGCCCGACTTCAGCTTTATCCGCAACCGACAGGTAACAACCGTCTCACAGCTCCCCTGCCTCAGAGCCGGCCCTCGTTTCACGTTGGGATCTAATTTGTTGAGCTTCTCTGTTTGTCCCTCATAGGGTCCGGTAGTGTGTCAGGTGAAGCTGTCCAATGGGTTAATGATTCACGGACCTCAGTGTCAGTCAGAAAACGAAGCTAAGGAGAAAGCTGCCTTCTTTGCCCTCCAAAGACTGGTAAATGCTTCACAATCTACTGAAGAAGATCTCAGACTTCAATGTTTAATACTCTTAACATGCAACATGTCTGACTTCATGTTTACACGTAGAACTCTCTGGGCTCTGGGTTGCCCCTCCCTCCTCATCTATATCCCGGGATGGCTCAGATGCATCCGCCGCCGATGGGAGCCATGCCGCCAGTCTTCAGCCAGCAAGGTCAGTGTGTTGCTCTTATCGTCTGCATCAGGGAGCCTCAGTGGTGCTTATGTGTTTAAATGTGAGAGATTCTGATATACTGGAGAAATCCTCACAGCCTCACTTGGGCAAGCTTGGCTAAATTTAGCAATTATTTTTGAAGAAAGAATTACCCATATCCAGTTGTTGCTTTGCCACAAGATTTATTATTTTTTTTATCTGGACAAAAGTAAAAAAAAAAACAAAAAAAAAAAAAAAAAAAAAAA